TCTATTTTTGCCCAAAGAGTGTGCGTAAATCAGGGGCACCCAACGAGAATATCATTCAAAACCACTTAAACATAGCATTGTTAAACGTATTTTCGTATTTAAACGGTAGATATAGGCATATTTTTATCCCCAAAAAATTTTGCATCTGTTCGGATTTAGTCTAGTGATTCGAAAATTATAGGGATCAAAACTTGCCTTTTCGAAAATTTCAGCAAGAAAAAAGGCTCCCGAAAATTTTAGGAGGCCTTTTTAGGGCAAAAATCCGTTAAAATGGGCAATTATACCATTTTTTGGATGTTCGAAAATCCTAGAGGAGGCAGACTAGCAAGAAATTTTGCAAAAAATTTTGCGACAAGTTTTCTAAGGCTCCATCAATAAGATAAATTTTCTGTGTGTTGTCGACTTCGCGCTTATCATTTCGAAACGTTGTGAAATAAATAATTTGCCTTTTCAATAAAGAGGAACAATGCATTAGTGATCCGTAACATGCGACAAGTTTTCTAAGGCTGCATCAAGAAAGTGACACAGCGTAGAATGCAAGACAGTCCTTATTTTTGCGTATTCAAGAACGCGCGAGCAGTCAAACGAAAGGTCTGGAACGAGGCTGAAAACAGAGAGCGAGACTGGGGAGAGACGCTAAAAATACTAAAACAATTATCCTTTTCAATCTCGGTGAATAGTGGCTTTAGGAATATTTACCGAGCCGCTTTCGCGGCTTGGTAAATAGGCGGCCACTATTCACCTCGATTTTAAAGAATAATTGTTAAGTATCTAATACCTTAAATTCACTGCACAATAGTAAGAAATCTATTTCTTTAACATTTTTGTTTTTCAGAACCTTGATGTTCTGACCTACGAAGAGGAACCTTGCACCACTATGAGAACAGGGATGATTCGTTCTTCTTCCGATAGCAATCACACTCTTTTAGAGGTCTGCTCCAAAAGACAGTGGAAGCCGTACTTTCCCGAATGTAACCCTCTTAACGGTTGCTATAGCAACCGGGTCGCTGGTTTGGTTGGGCATTGGCGTATGGATGAGCAAACTGGAAACGAGGTCGCTGATGACTCAGGCCATGAGAACCACGGCTCCGCCAGCGGCGCCGTGTCTAAGCTGTCCAAGTTCTCTGTGGACGTTTCTTCAACGGTAATAGTGGGCAGATTACCATTCTAAACGCTGCCAACTTAAATTTTGGGTATTCGAGCTTCACAGTTGTCGGATGGGCGAAGATTTTGGATCACTCATATCCGCTGACAACCTTTGCTGTCAGGAAAGGGTTTGGCTGTTATTTTGAACCGGGCCGCCTTGGATGGAAACCCGGATGGGAAACAGGACATGGACCCCAAGCTACTTACAAGGGTCTCCGCATTTGCATCCGGGACAAGCAGAACAAACTTGTGGATAATCACATTGTGTTTGACGGTGGCTATCAACCGGCCCAGATGCTTGGCAAATGGGTCCACTACGCTGTTGTGTTTGATCGTGATCAACAGAAGAAAGTTTTCGTTTACGTCAACGGCAAAATGCAGTCCAACAGCTTAGACATCTCAGCTGTTCAAGGAAGTGTGGATAACAACAAACCACTCGAGATCGGTCAACTTTATGGCTGGAAAACCAAGGGAACCCTGGACGAATATAGACTGTACAACAAAGCCCTTGACAAGTTCGAAGTTGCTACCATCTACAAAAACCACCTCGTGTAACTAAGCAGCGTTTTTTCCTCTTGTTTTTGCTAAGTGAGGGTATCGTATACAAAAACGTAGACTGTAGTAAGGTACTTTTGGCAACAGGAAAGTGTCAAAGCAATACTCTTTAAACTAAAGTAAAGAATAAAAATGTGGAGTGATACACCTAATTGTAATAACGGTGTCATAGAAAAAAGCAAAAAGCAGAAAGCCAAATAGGAATTAATTAGCCATGTGATTTACATTTGCGTATTTTAATAATTTAACAATTATTTAAGAAGTCATTCACAATAACAAGAAATAATTCTGTAATTCCGCGCTGTAAGATTCCGCACATGAAACACTGATGTGTGTAACAACAGGGTCCTGACAAACGAAGCTTGGTTTGTTGCGCGGGAGAGGAACTGGCGGAGGAACGCCTCACCCTCTCCGCGATGGAAAGTCCTGCCTAAATCCCTGATTTGTTGCTTGAAAATTGTGATCTGATGGTGTTGTGCACTACAAACCATACGCAGACTGGCTTTTCTATTGATTTAACGAAAAGACGCGTCGCGTTCCTGGAATTTACCCCAGGCTATATTTATTGAAAAAAAATGGAGCCATTTTTTCTGTAGTAGTTATCCGATGTACGTTTGTAATAAGAGCACGTTTGAAATCCGCTAGATGAATCAGCCTCGAATTGCATTAGAATGACACCAAGAAACTGATGCAAATGATTTGGCTTTCATATTACGTGATTAATATTCAGCTATAAGCGTGTGTGTCGTGAATGTTGCAAGCAATGATAATTTAATGATAATTTAATGCTAATTAATTCCTAGTTGGCTTTTTGCTCTTTTCTATGACAACCTTATTGCAATTAGGTGATCTACTCAAAAATTATTGGGCTTTTTTGGTCGGTTGATATGTTTCTTTTACTTCCCGTTGTTCAGTTTTTTAAAACTGTATATTTACGTTTGTGATCAATTGAATTTTTCAAGTGCATAGAAGAAACTAGAGAAGGTTTTGTGTAAGAGTACGTGTCTCTCTGAGGGAATCTGCCTAAAAAAAAACCCTAAACACTAAAAATTTCTCTCTCTATAAAAAGAAACTAAAAAATCCCTCTAAAAACTTCTCGGTGCTGTCTTATCGAAACGCCGTTGTTAACCCGTCACTGCAAACAGGATCCAGGGTTCATGTCTTGGCCCACCCAGATCATAAGCCTTCCTCCCCCCCTCCCCCGCAAAGCGTAGCCGTCCTCTGATCTTGAGCTCCAATCTCGTTCCCAGGGTTCTTTATTGCCCGTCGGGTGGGAGAGAGAACCTGGAAACTAGGTTGCTTGAGGTCTCTTCAACGACGGTGACAACAACGAGAACGTCTCGAAACCAGTTGGTTTAAATAAGCAAAGCAACAACTCTGTACATGCCCACATTTTTTGATACAGTTTCTTTGCCTTCACTGCGAGGTGAAATTAGAGACCTTACCTGATCCGACAATGGCGACGTCCATGAAAACCTCGCTGAAAAGTAGACTCCGCATCCTTTCAAACCATTTCGCGATTATCCCAAGTCGCCCAGTTACTTAGCAGAAGAGAATTTATCTTTGAGCTGAAGAGATGGGGCGGCACCAGAGGTCAGACAGAGATGGCAGAATTTATTGACCACTCCAGAAATACCATAACATACCATAATGCTCTTTGTTTGTCACCCCAAAATTTTGCATAAGCATTGTCTTCAGTTTCTCTAGGGAGTTAAAATGGCCCCAAGAGAAACTGAAAACAATGCTTATGCAAAATTTTGGGGTGACAAACAAAGAGCATTATGGTATGCTATGGTATTTTCTGGAGTGGCCAATTGCCTTGCCGTTCCTGTCCTCAAAAAAACTTCTTAAAATTTGGTCATTTCATGTCGTGGTCGTGCAGCGGCGGCAGAGAAATGTACAAAAAAGCGTGGTGCACGTGCAGCGTTGTTGTTTTGCTAACTAATTGCCTATTGCTTTTTGATGATGCCGTCGCCGTCGTAGTTTTGTAAGGTCCCTAATCCTTTACGCGAGGAAGTAAACACAGGGCAACCAATTTTAATTTCTCCTTTTTAACTTGGATTCGCTCTCGAAGAATTTATAAATTCCTAGGGTGTATTTTCCTACATTTGATATTTTAAGCGAATTTGAATAATCCTTGCGAAGTTTGAAGAAACGCTAGAGTTTGTTTAATTTATAGCGGCGTTTTCGTAAAAGTCGCCGTCATCGTTGCATAAATTTCACTAAACCTACCTTTAAAACAACTCAGAAGTTAAAATAAGTAACCTGCATGACATACATACTGTCAAGCTAAATTGTTATAATCTTAATTTTATTTTTTCCCCTACTTTTACCATCTTTATTTCATTTCTCTTTCTATATTTTTCCCATTTGTTCGAATTTTCTATAAAATAGAGATGAAGAATATTTACAATTGGATAATTAAAAGCCGTATTTTTAAAATGACAGCTGATTGGTAGATGACCTATTGTCATTCCCTGAAAATCGGAAAGTCCATTAATTTGTTTTCAAATACCGCCAAATATTGACAGCAAGTAAAACTGGTAATTGTAAAAAATTGCAGTCAACATTGTCTCCTTTCAGATACCAAATTAATAGGGACTTTTTTTTGGCTAAATGCAGAACTCCAGTGTAGTCACTTACTCTTATTATATGGTCGCTACCTCTGGGCATGAAGACACTGTACTATGTCTCTTTACTGTCCGCTTTTTTAGAAGGTATGGCTATTTAACAATTGTTCCTCGAGCCCGAATGGGCTATTGACTCAGAGGCCATGAGGGCGGGAGGAATAATTGTTTTAGTAAAATCCAATTAGTTGGTCAAAAATATCGAGACAAAAAAACTTTAGCTAGTGAAACGCGATTCAGCCGCCATTGTTTTGTTTTTCAAAGCCGGCGCTTCTCGCTACTAGTGGGCTGTAACATATAGCCTAGTGGTAGCTCAACCAATCAGAACGCAGCATCGATGATAGACTATTAGTCGGATTTTACTAAAACTTGTTTATCCGGTTAATTGATGTGTATATCTTAATTTGATGTCGTCGCGTTTGACCCCATTTTCTTACAGCAAGGCATGAACAATAATTAAGAACCCTAAGACTCTGCGAAAATGAAAACAAATAGTTTCCTGATTGGTTACTACTGAGTGATCTAACGCCATCGATTTTCTTCAATTTCCTTAAAGTCCCTTCAGCCGAGTATCCGCGGCTATCCCTGACTTGCGCTGTCTCCACAAGTAAAAATTTCGAAATTGTGAACGAAACTTGTTTTTGGTTGGCAAATTTTACTCACCTAACCGAATTACAATTCATGAATCTCGGGAGGAAAATAAAATTCCTCTAAGTGATCCCACTGAATGCCGTAATTATATCCTTGGCCCTGACTAAAAAGCGTTCGCTCATATTCAAAGGCAAAATATCCTTGGCATCCAGGATAAGTCTTGTTTAATGTACACTCCACGTAATTGTCAATTCGTTTCGCGATATAACTTAGCGGAGCAGGTCCGTGTGATAGTAAGTGATAATGAAAGTCCCGTATGTCAAATTTTGAGCCCAGTCTTCTTTCAGCATTTTCGCGCATTTCTATAAAAGCCCGCTGACCGATCATGTACGCCGTCGCCTGTCCAGGACCACTCTGATATCGCGTCACCTCTTTTCCCGCCACGTCGGTGTCGTCCCAGGCATAATGCCTGAAGAGCTGAATTGCTTGTTCACGTGACATGCCCTTGAAGTGAAGTCCGGTGTCCACAATGAGGCGCAAAGCGCGCCATATTTGCCATTTTAGCATTCCATAGAATCTCAGTGGATTTTCATCATATACATCTGAGGAAGAAGGGAAAGACAGATATGAAAACGTACTTAACAAACAGTACTCAGCCGCGGCGGAGCGAAGTAAAAAGTGGGGGGCGGGGAGGGGGGATCAAAATAAAATTGGCCATTCCATTTTTTTCAGCTCCCCTTCCCCCCGCCACCACTATAAGCAATAAAAGGAGGCCTTTATAATTTTTTTTTTAATGGCGCCGACAACATTTTGGTACCCTCGGATGCAATCTTCAATGGTGCCGACAACAAAAACTACATAGGATAGCCTTTCATAGGGTGGTGGGTGGGGGAGAGAGTGCGGATAAACAAATGAAATGTCCCGAAACAAATGGCTACGTACGGTGTTTGTTGTCTAAAACAGACGAGTAGACGTTTTCTTGAACGTTCCAAAATGGTGTTTTTAATTTCTAATGAGTTGCTCGTGTATATAACACCTTACATTACAACTGTTTGGTTCTTCTTATGCACTTTGCAACAGAGACGTGTCACTGAAATGGTTTATATATGTACACTTAGACCTCCTCTGGTATGCGAACGATGACGTGTTTCCGGTCATCGCTTCTCCTCACCCGAAAAGTACCCTTAAAGTTCACAAACGTTACTTAGCAAAGAATTAAGAGAGCCATAAACTGACATTACGTGGAAATCTACTCAACTGTTAACGTGGGTAAAATTCTCGACATATGATGGGCTCCCACCCAGTTACCCCTTTGGGAATTGCGGATCTAAGAAAAAGTTGAGATGGTTTGTGATGGAAATTGGTGGAATGCAGGCAAAACAACAACATGATCATCAACAACAAGGCGTTTCATTGTCTAATATTGATTTCGTTGCAGGATCACTAGACAACAAAACAACTTAACTTTTCAAGTTTAGCTATTTCACATCTTGCCCATCGAAAACCAAGTTAAACTGCACTTTTATACGAAAACTTACAACAACAGTCGGTGTGATCTTACCAGTTTCCATGGAAATAAGAGGATTCTCTGCGTACAGTGCCCACCCCTCTGAGTAAGCAATATATCGGGTCTTTACCAACGCGCTCACTAATGGACCACACCAGTCCCTAAAGAACAACACATTTCGTGAATTATTACATAGAACTATATGCAAGAAGAACTTAAGAAGTCACTACCGTGCCAAATACTGTAGATCAGTCAGTTGAAGGGAAAGGGGAGATTGAGACATGCAAAGAGGGCGGGCGATAAGGACGCTCGAGAGGGACGCGGGCGCGAGGGAAAAGATCACCAGTCGCGCTGGTCCACCGTCTGTGAGGAAGCAAACCACGAAACCTCGATCTTACCAGCTGAGTTAAAACCACGAAAAACTCGTTATGTAAATGGAGTAATCAAACTTTCGAACTTTCATCACTTTGCTAAAACGAATGAAATTAACGAAGAGGACCATTTCAAGGGTAATGACTATTCAACTTACAGAAAATTTTCCACGTGTCCCTGGGACTGAAGATGATGCCCCGGCCTGGCTTCGTGAGCGCTCGTAGTCCACTCGGAATACTTCGGACCCATGCGGTCTAAAAAGAAAGGCATTCGGAACCAAGCCGGTCGGCTGCAGCTTCGGGAACTTGAGGTGTAACTCTGAGCTGAAGTGGTCGGCGTGAAGTTTATGGCCACCTCAACTGGGCAGACAGGTGTAGTCTTGAGGGGGCCTAGGGGCCAGTAAAACATCTGTAGTAGCTTGGGTTCTAGTTGGCTGAGAGTGCTACGCGAAAACTCGAACCAGCGCTGCATGGCGGCATAACGGCGTGGACAGAATTTACGGGCCCCTGAATAGACAAAGAGAATGTGCATAAGAAAAATTCCATCTGTGGTATAGATCACAAAAGGTCACTATGTGTTATAACGAAAATCCTTTCCAACTATTCGGGTGGCGTACAATATCGTATACATTGCCGAGGACTTCCTTACATGGAAATTTTCCGCTGTGTCAGTTAAAGTTATTTAGGCACGCCTGTTTAGGTTGAAGAGAAAAAAATGTGCTTGTGGTTCAGATACTAGTGTTTACATAACAAAATTGTATTAATTTATCATCATTTAACTTGATACAATGTCTAAATTTAGCATAAGATATCAAGACATTAACGATTTAATCAGTAAAAGCCATTACTATGACTAAATAACTGCTAACCTTTCCCTGTGCACATATATCCCATGTGCGAAATTTGCACAGTATTAGATTTAGATTTAGATTTAGCACATGATTGTAACAATAAAAAAGACAGAGGGCAGGTAACTAATGTAAGTAAAGCAGGATAGAGGATATATGAAAGTTTCTGACTTGGAGCACAGAAGAGTGTCCGTTTCCCTGGTGTCCGCGTTAAGCGGGGTAATTTTACAAAATATAATATGGGCTTTCTATCAGGACAAATTAAACTGTCATATATCGCCCTATGTAAAGGAATCCAAGACAGTTTAGGATTGTGGACTCCACGCCGTGGATTCCGGATTCCAGGTACTAGTTCCGGATTTTCAGTCAGTGGAACTTGGATTCTGGATTGCAATCGTTAGTGGGACTCCGGATTCCCTGAGCTGTATCCGGATTCCAATGCACAGGATTCCGAAATTCCGCAAACAAAAATATCGCGGATTCCGGGATCCGAATTCTCTTACATCGGGCGAGTTGAGTTATATACGGGTGTTCGTATTAAGAGGATTTCCGTAAAGCGGTGGTTTCACTGTACCATAAAAAAGTATGGAGACCAGTGTGGAGAGTATACAATTAAAGAGTAAACTCACCCGCTTCGCTGTTGCACTTTCTGTGCGCTTTACCATTTGATTCGTTTTTAGGGAAGGGTTCTTCATTGAAGTACATAGATGGTGAATGAATAAACTGGCGGAATAATCTCACGGCTTCGCTCGTGTTTTCCTTCCCTGTTAAAGTCTTTGCGATGTCAACGGCTTTGGGATAAAGAGACCTCAGCATGGACCAGCCCAGCTGGTGGACAGATTCTTTGAGCGTACATGAAGGAAAAACAAAAAAGGGTTAAAATGATTGCAGTATTTGTCTTGTAGTTTCCAGAGCAGGTGATTTCATTCAGTACAGCAGTGCAGTAACTCTTTCGTCTTAACGAGTAGCAGTTAAGTTTTTTGTGGAAAGAGAGGGGGAATAGAGGCATTGTTTCTGTTCATTGTTTTATAGTTCTTTGCAAGCTGTCAAGGTCAACCGAGAATTGCAGCATCGCGATTTTTTTGAGGGGGAAGGAAAAGATTTCAATTCTCTTTCTCTTACTCTCTCGTTAGCTCTGCCTTATGCCCATGCCATTGATCATACTTTCTACTCTCCCCAGTCGTTCTTAGTACCGTCTCTTCTCGCCTCGAACCCTTGCCTTATAACTAGTCGAATTGCACTAGACTTGCGATCGTTTCCTTCTCTGCTTAATCTCGCTTTCCAGATTTTCTTTAAGAAAAAGACCCTTACCACCTGGAAAGGAAGTTGGACATGCTAAATCTGATTATAGTTTCTTGCTTTATAGTTAATGTTTCAAAACGAAAAAGAGGCTCATAACAGAGGAAAGATGGCGAACGTGTCGTCACTCACCAGCGGTGTCGTTGGTTGTGGTAAAAAAGCGCATCGTTCTCTCGTACCCAGACTTTCCATCGATCAACTCCCCAGTAGGAAGGCGCCTGCTCGCAGGCTGAGATACATTAGGGACTCCATTTTTGTACACATAACGAACCGGGCGATTGAAGAGTCCGCTGGACGCATTACTTGGCACGCAATGTTTCAAGTGATCATCCGCCAAGTATTTGAACAAATTTGCTAAAGGGACACCAATATGGCTTATCAGGCTCTCTACCATTGCCTGTTCTAAATGGACTCCGTGCTTTTTGAACCACATCCCTGAAGCGTTTTCAAATCGCATTAGGAACTGATGAGTCAAAAAGGGATATCGAAAGGATTCTAGTATGACGTCTTCTTCCCTGAATCCCTCCGCTATTTTAGGGTAGACCTGGCTGAGACAGTGCAATCCTACTTTGCACTCCTCGATCGATCCAACCATTCCAGTTTTTACCCCCAGTTTGACATTTTCGTGATATTGCCGAATTCCTCTTGAGAAGCTTTTCAAAGCGTCTATTATGGTCTCCAAGTCTTCCACTGTGTGTGGAGAAAGCTTCTTCAAGAATGCGCGAAAATGGTATGGTAACCTAGCAATGACTTGCGTGTAGCAGAATCGGTTGGGTCCCAGCATCCACTGACCTTAAAATAACAAGGAAAACAAAAGCAAAAATATGATCAGTCTTCTAGCGAGGGACCAGTTCTGTCAAGATGCCGAAAAAGACAAAGGTCACTCGTTCAGAGGATGCGTCGCCCTCCTTTTTGGGGTCAGGTGCTCCGAGTGGAGGCTTTGACGTCAGGCTTATCGTCTCTGATCCCCCCACCCGACACTCTTACTCGAGAAAGCAACCAACTCGCGCAGAAACGCTTGCTACCCAAGTGAGGAGGTACCAAAAGAATGGTTCAAATTTTTAACTTTACATCTCGTTGCTTAGTGGCGCAATTCCAGTCTATCTTAACGAACACCACTTGATTTTCACTTATGAAGGCGGACTACGAAAACTCTAGAATCATTTTCTTTAAAGAGAGTTTTTTTTCAAAAACTTCAAAAAATGACCTATGCGCCTTCAGTTTTGCCACAATTTCGTAATATAAACTTTCATTTCGCTTTCACGAGATAAACTATTCGCGATTTTTTATTTACCTGAATAATAGTCAAAATCATACACATTTCCAAAACTATGCTGCAGAAAATGATTCATTTTCGCCACTGCTTTCACTTCTCTAGCTTTCATCAGCTCTGCTTTAAAGTTTATCGTCTTGAGTTCCTTCAATAATGCCTTTGATGTGTCTGTTATCTTCTTGATACTGGACGGGGCTGGATCGAACGCTTTAAAACTGTTCCTGACCTCATCAGGAGTTACATGAGGCCGGTATGGCACTTCATAAGGATGTAACTGGTAGAAATGGGTGTTAAGTTTCTTTATAAAACCGAGAAGACCTGAAGAATGAACAGAAATCAGCAAAATGTAAGGTCTAGGCCAAACGTCCACCTTTTCATGGGACGAACCAACTCTAATTTGAGTCGACCTAAATTAAGTTAAGATCGTCGTGTTGGGTCAGAAGTCGATCTTTTAGGACGCGTCGAACCGAATGAAGCTAAATATACTAATTATGATACAAATGTTTGATCTATAAGTGTAGTTCGTCGTATGTGAAGGTTGACAGAATTGTCGCGGAGACGATCTTCACACGTTCTATTCGTCTGTTACGTGTTGGACGATCCAAACTCATACAGACGAACTTCAGTAACTGAAGAGCAGGACGTCGAACGTTTCGTGAACTTAACTCACTAAATTTGGTTCTTCTCACGAAAAGTTCGACGTTTGGCCTAGGTCTAAGGGCCGCAGTTACAATGAACACCCACATAATACTGGAGATACTGCAGATAAAAAATCTTCCATGTACGTTAAAATTTGGGTAGCCTGTGTACAGCTGCCCCCTCCCCTTAAACAACTATTCCCAAGAGTACCCCCCGGGTGTTTAACACCTACTAAATTCCCTAATCAAGATAACCGAAAGGTTTCGATTTGAGCCCTCTGATAAGCTCTAAAAATAAAAGAAAAACTTTTTAAAGTTACCACTAACGAAACATGAATAATTGATAACAGTTAAACCTAATGAGTCAGAATGTAACAGGTTAAAAAAGAGATCAATTTCATTAAGTTTTATTTTAAGGTTTAAGCGGCTCGATCCGAATTTAGTTAGAAATCTCTGGCAGCAAGAGCTACTTAAAAAAGTTTAAGCCTTTGAAACGCGTTGTTTTTCTTATATTTGATTTCAAATCATATAAAGACGGTTATAAGACGAAGTAAAAATGTTCATGCCTTGCATATCGTTATAATCCAAGCATTATAGACTTATACAATGCTTGATTTTTTGTTTGGGCTTAATGTCATAACCTTTTAAGCTTGCGGATGGCAAAAACCTTTGATTCTGTTCAGTGCTTTGTCATTCGACAATCATGGAGAATAAAAGTCACTATATTCTTAAAAATGTGAACTCTCTTAATTGTCAGACACTATAGCTGTATGCCATGTAACCTTTTCCAAAAAAAAACTAAACTATTTTAAAGAAAATTCAAATCAAAGGACCTCTGCTATGAAGTGCTTTGGTTAACTGTATTCCTGTTCTTCCTAATATTTTATGAAAGATTTTTTTAAAATTTACTTTAGTTATAGAAGTGTTAATGTCATGTATTTTAGTTTAAAGGAAAACGAGGGTATATTAAATACCAACTGAAGAGGAAAAGTAAAAAAAATGTGATCCCCTTAGTATTCGCTTTTATATGCATCTCAAAACAAAAAGAGCACATGCGCGAACATAAAAAAAACACTTGTTTTATATAGGTTGTTCTACAAGTTGATGAGAGTGATTCAGTGTAGAGGTTAAAACAGGCACAAGCTATTTCGGGCTATAATTACCAATATTGTTCAGTTATAATATCTAAACATAAATATTTTGCTCACATATTTAGCAACTGTTGCAATTTGCTAAACATTTGCTATCATATTTGCAGAATCTTGAATTTATGTACTGTTGCAATTAAATGAAATTCTTTCACCCGTCAATTTCTCACTCATTTTTATACAAGGTAGTTCATTTGAGCTTTTTTTTTGCGGACAAGAATAGATTATGGTTTTTTCCTCCTTAGCGAACAGTTTATTTAACCACGTTCGAGCTAAACTTTATAAATCTGTGTATCCTAATCTTATGAAGGATGACTGAAATCCCTCGTGCTATGCTCAGATAAAGGCATCATCTTTATTATAATTTTAGGATAGAAAGACAAGTTCATTTTCCTAAGGTTTTACATTCCATGTTTTAAGCAGATCACAAGTATTACAAATAATCGTTATTTTCATTTTTTCATCTTCTAGCCGGCTTAGGCCTTTGAAAGATAACATTACTAACCACAACGTTTCTAATTTCAAAGCTTGGCGTTCGTGATCACGATGAAAAGATTTCGACAAAGGTAGTCGAAGGGGCAGAATAATTCGTTTTCCGTGTGCGTGTGGATGATCGTGCTCGTGAATTACAAATTGATATTTAAGCCTCAAGGGCCCAGCTTTTGAGATTGAGAAGCAAGTAAAGATAAAGACGATATCAGCCTTGAAATTCACGATATGTGCCTCGGGAGAGTTGTGTACATACGTGACAATAAATACGCCTTAAGAGGCCGTAGGGGTTCGCTTCGCTTAGTTTCATAATCTTTATATAATTATTACCGTTATGTAGCGTTCACTTTAATTAGATTTTCTTAAACCACCGGAAGGTTGCAGAAAGCTAGTGTAGTGATTTGATTCTGTTAGCACTTCGCGTCTTATCTGTTATGATAAGAAACTGACAAAAGATTGGTGATACGTTGAATACGCCAATATAAGTAAACAAAAAATAAAAAAATACAGAACATAGGATAGACAAACGGTATTCATACAGCCAAACGAAATTGAATGATATCATGCAACAATGCCTGATAAGTTATAATGTTTTCTCCCAGCGAACACAATTCTGGACGGCAAATTATGAAAAGTATAGTAAAAGTTAGAACAACTTTCAACCATTAATAGATCTGCTGGCGGTGTATTACCCGGATTCATATGTTTTGCTTAAGGGAGAAAACAATTCACTGTGCATTACTAAATTAAGGTGCAGGGATTATATAGACATCATATTTACAAGCAAGAAAATCGTAATATATCGAAAAGGGGAGAGAAAACGGTTATGATGAGACCAGGAGAAGCCAAAAGACTGAAGTCAAATCAATCGTTTAATGCACTAGTCTATCACTCAATAACAGACGTGAGCTACAGTATGTTATGTAGGATTGCAATGTTTTTGGTCAGAAATATGTTGCAATACTTTTATTGAAAAGTAAAATCTCCATGGTGCACATGGCTCCAGGGTATTAAATTTTGCTCCTGATCTTCAACAAATCCCTGATTCGCAAGATTTAAAACAGTTAAAACCGAACCTTAGCTTATTATTTGCAAATCACTTGGTAAAGAAGAACTAAAAAGCAAGAAAAACGGAGCTGCAGATTTGCAATATTAATCCTCACTACTTTTTCCTTGTAAGTTCTTATGTATTAAGAATATCCGGCAAAACAAAATCTTCACCATGCTACGAGAGATAAGGCATCTTTGGCACATAATTTATTTTGTTCTAAGAATGGTGACCTTTTGGCTAAGACAGTACCAGGAGAGGCTAAAAAATTTGTTTCAAAGCCCTAAGTTTCAATAGGATTAATTTGAGTTTTCATGGTATGTAACCTATTAGATCGATACTGACGCTTTTTCCAATTTATGGCTAAAATTCGACTTGCATGGTACATGTATTTGTTATTGTTTAGTACTCATCTGGAATAGTTCGTAATAAAATATTACTTGATTAGTTAAGATTCTGTTGGACTTAGGAACTAAAAATGTTAGGGTTAGCTCTTTTCAATTGAAAAAAACGTTTATCAATACTGAGATGAACAGATGAAATGGTATATCACATGAGACTAGGATAATATGTGAAAGATCAGTTTAGGGGCTCACCGTTTTAGATGTCCAAATACTAGGGCGTGGTTTGGCAGTCCAGCTAATTTAAGTTTTATCATCTTAAATACAAGGCCATGAATTTTAAAGAAGGCTTTAATAAAAACGTAAGCTGTTTTTCTAAAAATCTACACAATTAATACAGATTCACGAAATCATGACAGACTGATTTATGATTGCCTCTGGTTCCTACATTTTAATTAACAGTAGATTCTAACCATTGAATTGTCAATATTCTCAGGGTTGCTGAACTTTAAGAAGCGGTAGACGGGTGACTGAGATGCGTAACATGTTTAAAATTTTAAGACATGCGCAATACGCCGGACGACAATCGCGCCAGGCGCCCGCCTCTCGATGACCCTGCGGTTTATAAAAGTGAGTAATCCACTCATGAAATCATACCTAGAAATATTTGATATTGCAGTAAGTTCAAAAAAAAGAAAAAAAGAAAGCATAACAGAAAATGAACTTGAGAAGATCTAAAGAAGAGCTTAGGTTTAAAAAGGTGTTTCTAACTGATAAATGAGGAGTTTATTTCGAATGTAGACAACATTATATTATTCCTACTGGATAGAAAGTAACTGCGTAATGATTAGGTTGTGATTGCTCATCATTCTTTTTCAAGTGGAAAATTATAGATACAAGTTAAATTTGGGATTTGGGTTGTTAATCGGCTTCCTTGTTGTCTATTCGGGCGCCAAAGTTCTTAAATTTCGATTGTCCCGTTGTCTGGCAAGATGTTCAATACGATTTTGCGGTTTTTAAAATCGGCAAGCTTCCCATTCTTGGTAACAAAACTATTTTACTTTTTCTTTGTCATACATATTGGATATCACAGAAGCTAAAACATAGGTCTATTTAGTCACTACCGTCATTACAATGACAAATGTCTGCTCGCTGTTCCGTAAAAATTTATCAGTATAAAACAGATTGTTGTGCCCGTCAGAAAAAGAGATTGATTTCGAACTTTTGAGTTACAGTAGTTCCGTTGTCAAAACCCTGTAATGCGTACACTCAAATAAAACTTTACCAGCCACACATTTCCGTATCTTTGAAATCAGGAAATTTTCTATTTGGTTCGGTAAAAATTCCCTGTATAATAACTTTTTATATCACTCTTAACGTTTTTAACTTCGCACTCATAGAGTCCATAATTAAAGAGACCATGGCTTTTTAGACAGACAAAATCTTCTGATGGTCGACCATTCCAGTGAAATCCGGCCTTTTCATCGACACATGTGCTCGGCACTATTTGTTTTTCCTCAAAATTTCTTAACTAATATAAAATTTGAAGTTTCAGCCACGGTTTAAGCCATGTACAACGAGGCCTTCTTCAGTAGCCATTTCTGACTCGATCATCCTGAAAGACTTGTTGTTTTAAGGTATGTGATCGTTCACTGGCGAAATCTCTTCATCCGCACTTTTACATAGCATCATTCAATTTTCAGTATTTTTGAAAATAAAATGCGATTCTTTTCTCCAGATTTATAGTTTCTGCCACTTAATGAAAATGACTTTTCTTTCCATTAATTTCGCCATGAAGCAGCCACTACCATTAATCATTCGGTTTCCGACCCGTAATTTGGTATTGATTAATAAGTCTGCAGCAATTACTTTCAATTGGTCATTATTGCTATGAGCGATTATTCACAAGGAATGCACACTGAGTCGTATTCTTCTGTATATATATTACATAGGCTGCAGCGAAATGTAGGTGATTACACCCTTAAGTAATCACGCAATTTTGCCTTAAAAAGTGGAAGCTTAAATTTGTGTACAACACGAGATTTTGTTCCTACTGTTTTTCAACTAATTCGTGTTACTTAAGCTGCAATTACGTTGTCAAGAAATTCTCCCAACGAATTATTTAAAATTTCATTCAATCATTTTTGCTGCATTATTACGCCTTTTAAGCTATTAAAGATTGTACGTACTTGTACAATACTGTATATTGAAATATCTTTGCTCTGCAAAATTGATTTCTAACTTTCGAGTCGACCTGTGGATCAAGACTTAAATGTAATTATCCAAATGAAAGCTACTGAGCAGTACTTTCCTGTGGTACTGTTTATTATGCGGCTGTACAAGGTGGTTCTAACTTAAGAGTCTGTGGACAAAATTTTCAAATGTGACAATTCAAATAAAAACTTCTTCAGCAACATTTTCCTGTGGTGCTGTTTATTACTTTATCACTCTAGTACTTTTCTGTATTTAAATGGTGCTGCTTATTACGCTGTATTGGGGGACTAAATTTTTCCTAATTCCTCGCGGAACGAAGACGAAATCGTACGATCACTGAAATGAAAGCTTCGGCTTTTGCGTGTGGCTCAATTTTTACCGTACGCTGTTGTTTGTCTTACTAAGTACAGTTTTCCCAGTTTTATCTTGTGTTTATGAACCAAATTTTCTCAGTCAAAAACACTTAAGAGAAAGGTCAGGTCACTCGGCCTTAAAGCTAAAGCGATGCGATCATTTTTGTAATGGCTGTTTCAAAAAAGACAAAAAAAATACTAATTCTAAGCTGAACGGAATTTTCAACGATTAATGAAGGTTTTCAAAGATAGAACATTTACCATTCCTTTCCGATTTATTTTGGTGATGTTCATCGTGATAAGTCCAGCATTTTTATTCATTCTTCAGTCTGAAATGGCACAAATTTGGCTTTTTTTCTCCAAAACTTATGAAGTCCCGTTTTAATTTTGACGATTTCCTCCGGACTTTCAGAGATTGCGCAAAATCTTCCTGACTCTCATCAGTCACGTAAATGTCCCTCCAAGGTTCCTAGGATAAACTTAATAAACTATTGGGCCAACACGCAACGACTTTTATTTGTTTGCTATCAAGAAAATATTCTGTATGGGGAATCAGTTTTACTGAAATACAAAATTCGTGCCTCAGTGTATAATCGCTGAAACTCCAGGGTGAAAAAAAGGTCTCCGTTTGAGTTCATTAACTATTACACTTCATAGCAAGAGTCGCTAATTTGTTTTGACCATCGAATAAAGTAATCATTGCTTTGTTGATTTTTTCATCATTTTTTTGACATTCTTGCTCGAGGACATGAAAAGGTTATTAAATTTGCATTTATTAGCGAGTGTTTCGCTAGAGGTACTCAATTTTAGTGATTTTAGATGGCTTCTAACTAATCCTCTTGAATTTCTTTGTTAGAAAAACGTTTACAAAATGTGAAAAGTGCCTTATACAATTTATAAAATAACAAGTTTATCCTCATTTCAATAGTCTTTCAATTTTCTCCATTAACAGAGTTCTTTGCAGTCAGAAAATGAATATTTAATTTTTTTCATCAGATGACAAGATTTATAAATCACAGAAATCATCAAAACAATCTCGTAAATTTGAAAATCCGGAAGATCTATCGCATTTTTCGCTTGCAAAAAATTCTTTTTTGGCTTTGACCTTTGACCACCTAATTGGCCGAAACGACATGAGCTATCCGTTAAGAGTTATTACAAAAGTGATGGCTTTATTTGAATTGTAAAAGACGTAATCAATTGCTCATAAAAGCGGATTAGAGACCTGGTTGTTCGTAGTAGTGGGTGGTCTGTGTTTTTTTTCACTCCAAAGTACTAACAAACGATTAATTAAAACAACAAGGCTATTCTTGTTAAATACCTGATTCTCTGAACTCCCGCGAGAAGCTGCAACTTTCGGTGAAATTCGGGGTCACCGATGTTTGAATCGAGCACTCGTTATTTTGAGGTGGCGTGTTCTCGTTTGGGCTTACTGTTGCGGATAATAAATTGTCATTTTGCGATTCTTTCATACGTAGAAATGCAATGCCGACTACCAAACATATTATTCCAGTCGTCACTACCGTAAAAGCAAATACGAGGAGTTTGCGCGATATCCGTCCCTCTTTTCGAAGTACTTGGGTTTCTGTACTTCCCACGGAGTCCTCGGGAAAATGATTGCCTTGTAGGAGCTGCAATTCATGGTTCAATGAGCCCATAGTTGAATGAAGCGTTTGTTCCTCGCGTCTTGAGATAATTTGCCAAAATCCACAATCTTTGGACATGCACTGAAGAACTTCGATCGCTGTTACTGCCGCTAAACCGCAAATTGTCGACGACTACGATCCTCTTATTTATCCACAGTGCTTGTAGACAACAGCGGCGAAGATCAAGTTTCTTGACTGTGGATTTGTTTCCTCGCTAGCTTATTCAATCTAGTCAGTGGAACAAATGAGAATAAGCTCCGTTTAAGATCTTAGCACAAAGCATTCTTGCTCTAAATCCACATCTAAAAACACAATTAACTTAATTACAGAATATGGTACCTGAAGTCATTCGGTGGCTGTTTGATTTTTTGAGGTCACCTTTCACAGGCAGGCTAAACCAAACCAAAGAGGATATGTACCCCATATATAATGATTATTTCCTTAGAAAGCTCGCGGCGCACAGACATTCATACATAACGTGCCATGAAGGCGGTCGCCCGTGGCTTTAAAGAAACATCCGATCAATAATAACAGATTATCGCCATCCGCCTAATGGCCTACAGGTTTATTTTTGTCAGAAGTGCTAATATAAATCCGTATTAAAATCGGGTTACGCAGACTTCTTTTTAAAGAACCGCAGACTGGTTCTTACATAGGGTACTTAAGACAATAAATTCCTCACGAGGAGTTCTCGAGGCTTCTATTTCTAATATGATCTAAAGTAAAGCTGAGGGTAGGTTTAATGAAGATAAAAAGAAATGTGTTAGGGAATCGATCTTCAGTAAAATGTTTTAATTACTGCTCAATGCACTCGGATTCTCTCAGTCAAAGGTTTAGCTTCAGGCCAAAGAATTGTTCTCATAAATGAAAAAAATATTCACTTTAAATGACTTACCCTCAAAGTTTAGTTACTAAGAAACCATTGGTCGTCGGTTGTTTCAGTAAATTCAGGTCTTAAACGCCATTCCAGTTCAATTGCTCGACAACAAAAGATATGACACATGTAAATTTTGGAGTTACAAAGCTCTTGATACAATTACCTTTATTGAAAAAAGACGCGAAAGATAAAATCTTCAAAGAGGAAATGATTTAAAATGCAAAGGAGTTGCTGCAAAATGCGCAGTAGACCTGGCTTCGAAGTCAACATTCAAAATTTTACGTCTGTTCTTGCGCTCTTAAACAACAAAAAAAGTACAGAGCCGAAAAGTATTGGGGCATATCGTTCAAAATTTAAGCTGAAAATTTCAACAAGAAGCAAAAACAAACAAACAAACAAGCCTCAAACACACTGAACTGCAAATGTCGAATGCAAGCAGAATGGCACGAACATACACGTACTAGGTAAACACAATTTTTGATTGTATCCGTAGTTTAACTCTTTACGTCAATACCAAACACCTCGCTCCTCTACAAAAATAAACTATAAACTTAGGTACAAGATATTAGCTTTAAAGGAGTAAAGTCTCTAACGTCACTGAATCGATTGACCGTAACTAAGTGTTGCCGTTTTTGGGGGTGAAAATGTCTGGTTTGTTAAAACCATTGAAAGCTCTGCTCAAGACATGATTGCAAGCATTTTGATCATCTTAAAATTTCGGGTCTGCCTTCGTGCTCCCCGTTACAAAAATACATACCGAAATATTAATAAGTGCTTGACTTTTTGGCTTTAAAGGTATGCAGCTATTTGTCATAGTTAGTCAACAAGGACAACCTGAAGCTACCGAATTTTAAAATGGCTGGCACAGAATATACATTGCAGGAAAACATCACGTTATCGGACTAGAAAGAAAATCGCTTAGTTATTCAGGAAAGCGACCTGAGACTCTAAAGCAAACGGCCTGAAAACGGCATGTTAAAATCCGCGCAGACTGCAAAACAGTCCGTATTTTTGCGTATTCAAGTACACTGTACGCACGAACAGTTAAGCAAAAGTTGGAAACGGAGAGCGAGACTGGGGAGAGAAGCTAAAAATACAGACTGTGTGTTTTGAAAAAGATATAATCATTCGAATTGCCCGCTTCTCCCAGCCACGGGCAATTCCCATTGGCTAATTTTGATGCAAGCTCTTAGCAAACTGTCAAGTTATGTTTGCAATAAGTCATTTGTGATGTACCCTACCGTGATGAATTCATTGTCCGTTGGCGTGTTCAGTTGCGAAAGAATCGCAGCGCAGTTACCACCTTTGTGGAGAAAGATTCTCCTTCGTCGAGGACAACGAAAAGTTCGTTTATCAGAAGGTCGGCCAATTTTGGTAACGTTTCACCTTTTTCTAGTACTAGTAGGGGCAACAAATATATTTGCAGAGCTTATCCATCCACTCTTAAAATTGCCGAACTGTGTTTTGAAACAACAGCTGCACATTCTACAATTATCTGAAGCGCTCGGCTCGGCTTTCGCCCCCTCGAGAAGCAGGAACAGGCTTTGTCTGCTTTATCGGCGCACTGCCACTTCCATCCACTCATGTTTGATCTTGCAGGAAATACTACATTGTACACGGAAACAACGCTTAAGACTGCTTTCGCTATTTTCTCACAGGGTCCAGGGGAGATGGGTTTGTCGTTAGAACATCAAAACCCGTCGAAAACCTCTGAAAAAATGGGTTATTTTGATCGCGTTACAGTTTCGTTACACATTCTATAGACCGCAAACCAAGAGACTGAGGGCTCGCAAGATAAAAAAAATAATAAAATAAAATACTTTTAGCGGAGCTCTCGCGCGCGCGAAGCGCGCGCTTGCGGAGCACCATGGGTAAGAAAATGTGGTAAACTATCCATCCGAGAAAATTTGGTTATGACGTAGCGTACGCCCACCCGTACACACACTTCATGTAAGCTGATGTCAAATGTCACATCTTGGAGAAATTGACACTTTGTAAGCTTTCTCGTATGAGGATGAATTGGCAGCTGTCAAAACCAGACATCCGCTGACAGTAATCACATGACCATCTCGCGGGCTCAGATGAAAGATCAGTCGTTTTCCCTACATATAAGCTGATGTAATATGTCACACCAACATAAAAATGAAAATGAAATGAAACTTTGGCCAGGGCTGTCAGTTTAAAGTTATACGCACTAGCCAAATTAAGGTCAATTGACAGCTGTCAAAATGGGCCAGGTGAAGACCACTATCAGATCACTAACAACGTGGGCTCAAATACACGACATTTCGCCCCATTAACCCTCCATTACAACCCCGCAGACTAACACTCGCAGTCAACAGTACGTATTTGAAAATTCGCCATTCTAATGAAGTTCAATTGACAGCTGTCAAACTACAGCATCCGCTGACCATCATCACCTGACCGTATCGCGGGCTCAGGTATCAGCCCACTTAGTTCGAGTTTTTTTGAAGTTATCCGCTGACAAGTTACTACTTTTCAAATGATCCAGGCTCAAGTTCAATTTTTTTAACGCATAGGAAATAGGAAGTTGTGTTTATGAGTCGCACTATTAAAACTTTTAATTTCAAACTAACCTCGGACGCGAGAACTCAGCCAGCTTTTACAGACAGGGAAGTTGCTTTTGACCTCTCTGACCATGGTAACGCGTTGGTCACGCTCTACGTCCAATTTTTATGTTCTGATTGGTCAAAAGTTGACAGGTGAGTTCATGAGGAAAATTTATGCAGCATCTTGAAACTTGTTTACTTTGAAAGCTGAAGCTGACAGAGTTTTTTGTATAAACGTTGTGAAGCTTTTAACTGTCTTTTTCTACTGGATGTACAAAATGAAATACAGATGCTAGCACGATTCTTAAGTTATTCATGGCTCAGTTTGTTTATTGGGTTTTTGGTTGAGAAATGAGCCGCTTGTCAAAGTCATCGGAAATCCGATTTCGGATGGATCGCTTTTACTCACTTCCCCTTGCTTGATGCGAATTATAAAGAAGGTTCAAAAAAGTCTCAAGCGATTCTGATGGCCTTCAGGAGCATCTTGACTGGTAAGCCTGAGTTATTATTGCATTTCATGTATTTTTTTTTTCTGGTTTCCTAAAGTCGAGCGTAGTTTCTGCGCCTAGTTTATGCACAAGACAATGATCTACAATAGCATCAGATTTGACATAACCTTACAGATTTTTAAAAAGTCTTAACATTTTCTGACCACAAATTCAAAGAAAACGTTGCGAGGAATGCGATGTATTGAGTTATGCTTTTGGCTGTAAAAAGAAAGCTCTGAGCGATATTATTGCCTCGCGGTTAATCTTGAAGTAAACCCCGGGAAGCCGGCTTAAATCCGCAAGGTTTTTGAAGTTTATGAGCTTATGCTCATGATTTTCAGAGACACTTACTCTCAAAACTTATCGTCGTGAATGAAAATTGTTGTCTGTGTACATGTTTCACCGAGTTATATTTATTTTACTGATTGTTAACAGTCTCTTTCTCAATTTAATCGCTGCGCAGGTTGTTTTCAGTCGAACATATAACAAAACATCGCACGCAGGAGTACTCATAATGCTGCGCGTAAATATCACATAACAAAACCATAAATAAAGGGAAATAAAACCTAAACATAGTAAGTTCTCTATCAAGTTGAAGCTTAAATGTTCATTCAAACAGCTCCGACAGCTCGGACTGCAAATTTGGTGCTTGACAATTTTTTGATCGTTCTTACTAAAAGCCCATTATTATTACCCTACATATCACATAGGAACAGATTTTTCCGACTAAACAGTCCCGGTATTATTGGAAAATTCCCTTAATGAAAACGTTTTATAATGTGGTCAATTCTATAATTTTTTGCTCAAAGGAAGCGTGCGCTTCGATCGTCCTGGATATTGAATGAGCGCAATTTCTCTTGCAAAATTGTGAAAAACTGCAGAATTATAGGTTTAAATAGGGCCAGGAAAAACGAGGTCTGTATGATCAAAAACGGGCACACAGGCGCGCATAGCACTGTTTTCATCAGATTCTATGTATAAAAACGCTGATAAAAGGTATATTTAAAATACTGGTTTACACACCACCAGATTTGTCGCCAAGAGTTACTTGTAGAGTAAACCTGTAGAACACAAATCTTTTTCGAAACACAAAAAGACCGGCCTGATTTTTTTTTCTCTTTTGGCCTTCCATTTAGACAGAGGAATGCAACGTGTAAATTGGCTGCAACAGGGCCCCTAGGCCTGCAACCGACGACTCTCGTGTGTTGCTTAAAATTATGTTTCGGAGATATCCAATTATCTCCACAGTCTCTACGATCTCCAACGGAGTGGTTGGAGAAACTATGAATTAACCTTATAAAATAAAGGCAGTGTATACGTAGTTGGGTGACTGGGCTTAACTTCTTTTGTTTGGGAAGAATTTGTTTTCTTGGCCTAATCTACTGTGATCGAAGAAGATTGCTATTTTTCGGTGTACATATGAGACTATTAACTCGATGTAAAATTTGTTTCACTCTTGGACTGTCAAATTATTCTTCTCTAAGGAATCACTTTCCCTCAAAAGTCTCATGAATCTACCTTAAAGTTAACTGATTAATGTTTATTGTTTTATTTAAATTATTAATTTATTAAAGTGAGCTTCGCTTTTAGCCTTGGCTAAATCTATATATTACTTTCTTTTACTCGGCACTTCGTGCCTCGGTCGCCCTTCGGTCACCCTTCGAGCGACGTGCCTTGCGCCAGCGAGGATATGGCTTGCGGTCATTCATTTTCAAAAGTCGATCTGGGTCAGATAAGAAGCGGAGAAATCGTTTACAGTAGATTTATAAAGATCCCATTGGGCTAATTAATCGTGCTAAGTGACAGGTACAGACATTTTTCAAGGTGAGACTTTAAATAAGTAATTGATTTATTCACACGAAACTCCTCTGGACCCTGTGTTTTCTCGCGAAATCAATCACCGGATGTATCAAATTTACAGAGAGGACAGAGTTGTGAATAGATTTTTGACAGCTCAACGACATTTTTGAACCCCCTGGTCAGAACGAACTCATTATGGAAAACGGACAATCGGTTTTTTTTTTCTCTCGCCTCACCTGCCCTCGGCACGATCTGCATTAAAAAAGGAATATATTACCGAACCAGTCCTGTGCATGGTAACATTTTGAATTTTCATTCTAGATAATACCTCTTTTTAAGCCTACTACATCAAATGCGGAAAAAACACTGCTGAAATGGCTATTTTTTACCAGAAATTGGCCATTTACGAATATCGCATTTGGTTTTAAAACGTGTTCTAGAGAATTACTGAGTTCTTATTTAAAACCTTTAAAACTTTAATTAAAACTAACCTGTTTGAAAGACTGCGAAGACCCCTAAAGCGAAGAAAAGCACTGACTTCATGTTGATTTTGCTTAACACAACTGAACACGAAGCACCGTACCTAGTGATTCACAAACAAAGCAGCGCCCACAGATAACAACGACCAAGACCAGGTTGCGCCTGCGATACGAAAAACGTCATGCGGTCTTGCCAACTATTATGTACCCCAATAAAGCGCTCAGAAACGCTCAGAGGAACCGTTTTGCCACGCGAGTGTTGCAGAGCTGTGAACATTTAAACAGTTGAGTGAGAGTCTATTGAACGAAAAAAAGGAATGTTTTTTTCCGAATCCATCCATGACTTTGCTGTGATAATTCTTTAATTTATATTTATACCTGAATTCTGAAAACCGGGTTAGCGAAAATATCAACTCATTCTACTACTTGGCAATTTAAAACAACAAAACTCATTCAAAGGCCGATTAAAAGGCTTTATATGACGCCGGGCAGTACGTTAATGGTCCCTAGAAGCATTCCAACGATTCCAAATTTAGAATGACGCAAGTTTTAGAACATTTATACGGTTAACTGACTTCGCGAAGTTTCAAACCGGTGTCATTTCAGTCTAGAAATTTTTAAGTTGAGTGAGCTGCAGCGAAAGAGCGCCTGGGTAAGGCTTACATAACAACTTAAATAGTTAGCAAAACACTACTTTTTTCGCGGCCCGATAAACAACAGGATTCCGCATAGAATAGACTACAAACTGAATGAAACATAGTGCACAAATTATCCCCTTCTTGTCTGCAAAAACCGGCGTATGGTGCAATGCCATTAGAGCCCGCTGAAACTAGACCTACAACCAATTTTCCTGAGTCGAGAGTTGCTTTTCTAAGGTACAATCAGCTAAGCTAAACACCGACGAAACAATATTGTACTTAAACAACAACTGACCTGTCGGCATTTTGGCAAACTGTCATGCAGCGAGTTTTCATTTGAAGCAGAAGTCCTGAATTGTGACCAAAATGAAAGCAACTAAGCAGTTCTTTCATGTAGGTCTGTTTAGTGTGCTGTACAAGGTGCTTCTAACTTTTTAAACTATGGATGAAATTTTATGATGTGACCATTCAAATGAAAGCTTCTGAGCAGTACTTTCCTGTGGTACTGTTTATTATGTTGTACAAGGTGGTTCTAACTTTTGAGTCTGTGGATAAAATCCTATGGTGTGACCATTGAAACGAAAACAACTGAGCAGTACTTTCCTGTGGTACTGTTTATTATACAGCACAAGGGGGTTCTTACATAATTTCCTTATCCTTTAGTCAGGTGTATGATGTGACCATTCAAATAAAAGCTTTAGAGTAGTGTACTTACTCTCCTCTAGTACTATTTAATCTGTCGGTTTATTTCCGGGCTCCAGCTTCTAAATATGAACAAGAGAGAATATGAGGGTTTCAAATAGGATTTTCAATCCCGTAATCCCGACTAAAATTTTCGGTCAAAGCCGTGATCCCGATTCTTATCTTCGGGATTTAGGGATGAGGGCCCCTCAATCCTTGAATACCAACCATCAAATGAGGCAAATCTTGGATCCCGAAAAACCAATCAACGGACCCTCAAATATGTGAATGAATAAGGTCTTGTATAGTTTTAATAATTTAGAAAAGTTCAATTGCTCACTCCCTTAGTCGCTATTACTAGCAACAGAAATAGAAGTGAAATACTGCTCTAGTGAGGCTTTCAATTGCTGTAAATTTAAAAATTAAAAAATAACACCTGAGCTCTCTGATGATGCTGTTGATCGGCGGACGCTCGAATTTGAATAGCTTTTGATTTTTAATCTCACAACAGTTAAAGGCCACCCCGTCGATCAATACTTTACTTTCAAACATGCTGCATGCTTGCAATAAACACAGATTATAAAAAGAAATAGGGATTCAGCCGTGTGGTAGACTGAACTGTTAGTAACGAACTTGCCAAATTCTAATAATAGGAACCTTAATTAGTTTCAAATCAAAACCAAAAATAAAATCAATTTCAAGATAATAAAGTTAATATTGACCCCTAACTAAATACAAATTTCGCTGTTGTTGGTACTCATAATTTCCTATTTCAGGATCTTATTTCGGTCGGTCGTGAATCATAACATGCCTCAGGTTTCGATGCGGTCTTTTTTATCGATCCCACATAGCACAATCGCGGAAGTACGCTCAATAGAACCGATTGTTTTCTCTGTAGTTTCTTGTTTATTATGTTTTGTCGTGTTTTGTTCTTCTTCTTCTTGTTGTTTTTCAATTCCTTGAAGCGTTTTAATTTCTCCAAGAGGGCTAAGAGCTCCCGTTATTTTATTTTACGAACAGCGGTTTTTTTNCTTTCAATTGCTGTAAATTTAAAAATTAAAAAATAACACCTGAGCTCTCTGATGATGCTGTTGATCGGCGGACGCTCGAATTTGAATAGCTTTTGATTTTTAATCTCACAACAGTTAAAGGCCACCCCGTCGATCAATACTTTACTTTCAAACATGCTGCATGCTTGCAATAAACACAGATTATAAAAAGAAATAGGGATTCAGCCGTGTGGTAGACTGAACTGTTAGTAACGAACTTGCCAAATTCTAATAATAGGAACCTTAATTAGTTTCAAATCAAAACCAAAAATAAAATCAATTTCAAGATAATAAAGCTAATATTGACCCCTAACTAAATACAAATTTCGCTGTTGTTGGTACTCATAACTTCCTATTTCAGGATCTTATTTCGGTCGGTCGTGAATCATAACATGCCTCAGGTTTCGATGCGGTCTTTTTTATCGATCCCACATAGCACAATCGCGGAAGTACGCTCAATAGAACCGATTGTTTTCTCTGTAGTTTCTTGTTTATTATGTTTTGTCGTGTTTTGTTCTTCTTCTTCTTGTTGTTTTTCAATTCCTTGAAGCGTTTTAATTTCTCCAAGAGGGCTAAGAGCTCCCGTTATTTTATTTTACGAACAGCGGTTTTTTTTTTCTTGGTTTGTTTTCTTTCTATGAATATCAAAGAAAGAACTTCCGCGAAATTACAGTACAAGTAATCACCCGCAGTCACGTGTTCATATCACTTGCGGAGCTAAGGGCGTCCACATACAAGAGACCTTTCCACGGTTCCTTCTTTTTTGACATGAACAATTTAGGGAATTCCGTCGACTCCGCTGGAACGAGCGCATCAAAATTAGTTTAAAGGTGATTTGTGGAAAACTGACGAAGATACAGCTCCTCAGAGTCGCGGAATTTTTTAACGTTTTTATGGTGGTTTCCGACTTTACGGAGCTAATAAGACGTATCACTTTCAGCTGTGGCAAGTTTACTAATTCTAAGATGCGTTTTTCAGATTACTGATGAAGTAAGCCACTGACAAAAGGAAAAATAAGTCTAAGAGAATGAACCTTTTAAAATGAATGTCACTCAATGGACATATTTCCACTCAAATCCATGGTCATATTTTTTTTCATGGAAAAGTATGAATTTTTAATTGGAATCGCTATCGAAGCGGCCTAAACGAAGATGCAGTAGTCAAAGTAAGCGAACCACTTAAGTATATGCTTGAAATAAACTCCCTATATCCGGGCGATTCAGCCTCCCAGTACTCTATATTTTGTGCAAGGTTTGAACCCATCGTTTTTTCACCGTTTTTCCTTCTCAGTAGACATCTCCCTCAAGTTTAAAATATCAGCAAATCCACAGCGACAAACCGTTGAGTGGAACCGGATCTCAAGTGTTTATTTATGGTAAAGAGATAAGGGCGGCCACATTATGTTAAGAGAAATCACACCATTTTATACTCAACTATTATAAAGTTTTAGGAGCTAAATTTGTATCTCATAAAACCCTGTAAGTACTCGTATTTTCAGTATTTCAACAAGTGAATCAGCTAGGTTATTTTACAAATATATTTGAAATTAATAGAAAATATATCATATCATTATAGGCGATCTACCTCTAGCATACACATTAATTTAAAAGAAAATTTATAGCAGGAGTTTCATTTAGTTTAAGGGGGCAATTAATCTCTCTTGCTGATGTGTAAAATATATATCATAGAAGCGTAAACAGTTATGAATTCTTTGTGTTTTGCAATATCACACTTCTCTTTTACAAAAACGCAGCTTTTTAAGCTCGGTCACATTACGCGAGGTGGTTTTTGTAGATAGCAGCAACTTCGAACTTGTCAAGGGCTTTGTTGTACAGTCTGTATTCGTCCAGGGTCCCCTTGGTTTTCCAGCCATAAAGTTGACCAAACTCGAGTGGTCTGCTGTTATCCACACTTCCCTGAACAGCTGAGACGTCTAAGCTGTTGGACTGCCTTTTGCCGTTGACGTAAACAAAAACTTTCTTCTGTTGATCACGATCAAACACAACAGCGTAGTGGACCCATTTGCCAAGCATCTGAGGCGGTTGATAGCCATTGTCAAATGTAATCACTCGAGAAACCTTTCGGTTTTGCTTATCCCGGATGCAAACGTGCAAACCCTTAGCTTGGTAACCATGTCCTGTCTCCCATCCGGGAACCCATCCAGGGCGGCCTGGGCCAAAATAGCAGCCAAAGCCTTTCCTGACAGCAAAGGTTGTCAGCGGATATGTGTGATCCAAGATCTTTGCCCATCCGACAACAGTGAAGCTTGAATTTTTGAAATTCAGGCTGGCAGCGTTTGGAACCGTTATCTTTCCAGAGAGGCCATTAAAGAAACGTCCCCTTGAGAACTTGGACAGCTTAGAGACCGCGCTTCCGGCTGAGCCGTGATTTTCATGGCCTGAGTCGTCTGCGACTTCGCTTCCGGTTTGCTCATCCATGCGCCAATGCTCAATCAAGCCAGCGACACGGTTGTCATAGCAACTCTTACGAGGGTTATACTGGGGAAAGAGCGGCTTCCACTGGTTTTTGGAGCAGACTTCTAAGAGAGTGTGACCACTCTTAGAAGTGGATCGAATCATTCCGCTTCCCATGGTGGAACAAGGTTTCTCTTCATAGGTCAAGAGATTAAGGTTCTGAAAAGACAGAAGTGGGTTGAAGTGTAGCAGTGTGTTAGAAGATACCAAAGGCGTATCTTGATTTTACGTAAATAAACCGAACTTGTTTGTAAATGGGTTTTACAGCGAGACCCCGGTCAATCCTTAAATTTGACACTCCCCCCCCCCCCC